CAGCATCATCATTGTTTGGAAAGCAGAGTAGGAGGGACAGTCTTGTTTGAATTTCAGACAAAATAACATGACAATATAAAATGTTTAAAATTTGTTTAATAAACACAGCTCAACGTTTCGACTCGTGGGCTTCCTCATGAGCAACTGAGAGAAAAAAAGGGCAAAAAGGAGGGAGACAGGAGAAGGGTGTGTGTTGTGTGTGTGTGTGTGTGTGTGAGAGAGAGAGAGAGAGAGAGAGAGAGAGAGAGAGAGAGAGAGAGAGAGAGAGAGAGAGAGAGAGAGAGAGAGAGAGAGAGAGAGGAGAGAGAATATTTTGAACGCGTAGGGGTAGAGAATTACAGACCTAGATACGTATTAACTTATATATCAAAAGCGTACTTTTGTCCGAGCTAGTGGTATGCTACTAATTAACCCCTTCACTGCCTGGCCCGAGACTGTCCCAGGTTCGACTAAGAGTAGAAGCACATTCCTGTGTTATATATATATTTTTTTACAATGGCAAAAGTACGTGATTCTATGTGGGTTGATGTCCTTTTCTGTCTGTGGAAGGGCTGGGAGGGGGAGAGGTAATGAAGAGATGGCGATAAACCCCTTACCCCGAACAAATGCGCCAAGACGTGGTGGAATCAAGCGCTCATCAATTTTTGGGCATATCTTCTTACAGTCTCTTCATTTGTCTTGCTTTTGACAAAAAGAAATACTCATCTTTCTTGAATAGACGTCGAGATATTTTGGATTGAAAGTGGTCGGGTCGCCTGGTATCAGACGTAAAATTAGCGAGCAAATTCCCGCAAAAGTAGGCCGACTGCTATAGCGAGAGAGTCCTTAGAAGCTGAAAATGTACACTTTTGTGTCTTTAATCAACGTTTTTCCGATAAAATCAGTACATGAATATGTTTTTAATTGAACTAAAAGGCGTTGAACTGTTAAAAAAAATCCCAAACCGGTGGAAAAATGCCGATTTCCTTATTTCATTATGTTGACGAACGTCTGAATTCACCACGACGCCTCACAAATAAAACTTCCACATCGTGATCAATTACTTCATCTCCTCCCCACATAACCTACCCAACCTCAATACCCTTCGCCGCAACATAATCATCGGCACTTGTTGAAAGAAGACGTAAGCATTTATTATGGTCATCTTTGTACTTACTGATCTCATTTCTGCACATCTAGATTTTAAAAAACCCCAACAACTCTAAAGATGGATATTTAGTTTTTCTTCATCTAATCCACAGGTTCGAGTTGCTGAGAGAAATACAAAAAAAAATTGACAGTGTGAAGGGGAGGGCAGTGTTTTGCAAACACAGATGTCTCAGCGAGATCAGCTCACTTACTAACATTGTGGGGTTGACAGTGTTGACGGTTGAGAGACGACAACGACATCACCAAACTTCAAAACAAAAAATTAGCCATCAATGAATCTTACGTCTCCTTAACTTAGATTAACGAAACACAGGAATATACTTTTCATCTTAGAACTGCTTCCTAACTAAATTCTCGGGTCAGGCAGTGAAGTGGTTAAATGCTAAGTTTTGCTAACTTTCTAAAATATAAGTCTATATCTTCTGATCCTCTATGTATTTGGACTGCTCATAAAAAGCACGTTATAAAAAGGGGCTCTCGTGGCCTAGAGGTTAAGGTGTTGGCCTCACATCCAAAGGTCCCGGGTTCGAATCCGGGTAGCGACCGAAACATTTTCTTCTCTAAAATTGTCTCCTTTCACCTCCTTTCCTGCTCTCTAGCAATGTTCTGTTGGCTGTTTTCGTTTCCACTTTTTACCCCCACCCCCTCACCTCCT